CAAAAAAAAAAAAAAGGCCCTTTTTTTTTTTTTAACTTGGGTGGCGGGTGCTCGGCGAGAACTAAACGTCGTCGTTGGCACCGTCGTCACCGTTCGCACCGGCGTCGTCGTGGGCGCTGCCGTTGTTGTAGGTATCAGCGTTGTTGTGGGTACCGGCGTCATCGTTGGCACCGTCGTCATCGTTGGCACCGTCGTCATCGTTGGCACCGGCGTCGTCGTGGGCACCGGCGTCGTCGTTGGCACCTGCGTCGTCGTGGGCGCTGGTGTTGCTGTGGGTACCGGCGTAGTCGTCGTCGTGGGTGCCGGTGATCGCGACGGAAGGGCTGTCGGGCGTCGCGTTGACGGTCGTGGTGTTTTCGGACGGACTGTCGTTGGCCTGGTTGTCGGGCGGGGTGTCGTCGAGGACGGTGTCGTCGTGTTGGGTGCGAGCGTCGGTGTCGACGCATTCGATGGTACGGTGATGGCTGGCGTCGGAGCAATGGTCGATGCGTTCGGGGCGAGCGTCGATGCATTGGGCGGGAAGTGAATCGTGCCATCGATGGGCGGCAGCAGCGTCGTGACGTTGGTCGGCGGGAGCGAGATCGCGGCGCCGAGTACGGGAGGCCGCACCGCCAGCGCGACAGCGACGTGCGCGAGCAGGAGGACGCGCCGCATGGACCGCAAGAAGGTGAGTGGCACGTCACCAGCCTGTGCGACGGAACGGCGCTGGCATTGCACAGGCTCTGGCTTGCACCGCCTGTCTACACCAACAAGTTGGCTCGAAAAGAACGGTGCGTCTCGCGCCAGCTGTTTGGAAACCGTGGTCGCCTTGCACGGTGGTCATTCTCATTTCTGTGCGATGACGCGGCCCTGATACTCTGTGGTCCAAGTGCCGTAGAGGCACCTCAAGATGCGTCGGGCACTTGCTGTAATAGAAGAATAGAAGCCACCTCGCGGACTTACCCGGCGTGCTGGCTCCGTGTCGTCCAACGTGTTGTCGTCAACGTGGCCGTTGCTGCATCTCGGCGTTCGCCGACCAATCTGGCTCGAGAGTAGGTCTGGGCCAGTCGCGCACCACTTGAGATAACCTCGGCTTCAATGTGGCGTCCGTCGTGGCAGAAAGACGTTGTTGGCCTCCGACGGTAGAGTGCAGCGTCGCGCGCTTCCACGCTTTTGTCCATGGACATCTTGCACGACGTCATGAATCTATCGTTTGCGTTGGTATTTGCGTGCTTGTGAATGGCGAAATGAGAGTGTACCCACCGCCTCCAAATGCCGTGGGAACCTTCTTGCACGTGTACCTCGGGCCACTTTTGACCCCGGGCACCCAATTGTACCGTACCAATTCCACGTACTGCTACAGTTGGGCGGGCACGCAATGGCAGCGCGCGAGCTCATGATTGACTGCAGTCGTTCGCGTCGCCAAGAGTAATAATAGCACTAGATGTCATACTTGGCATACCACCCCGCGGCCTGCTCAGGTCGTTCGAATCGCATCCCGGGAGTGCGCACGTGCGTGGCGAAAAGGCCGCAGTGGCCAAAAGCTGTGGCTAACCTTTACATTGTCCACCACGGCGATCGTCGGGACTGCTGTACGTAGCGAGTACCAGTCGTACAACGTATTGAGCGTGGTGTACTCGTTCAAAGGCACTGCCGTACGAGCCGTGAAGCCCCTTGAACGACACGAATATATTTGATGCATGTATAACTAGCGCCACGTGGAGCAGAGTAAGCAAACTTGATAGTACGTCGATGGGTCCTTAAATAGTCACAACTTCTACACGACGTGGACCTTCGATTGGACCATGTCTTGGAAGCGACTAGAGTCCATGCAAAAAGAGCTGCTGATGCTGTAGTTGCCGCTGCTTTGACCATAGTGCGACGACCCGCCGAACGAGCTCAGCGAGTAGCCGTCGTCCATGCTCTCCATAAGCTGCTCCGTGTTCACCGAGTGGCCCAAATGCACCTCGGAGTCGTCGCGGATCGGCAAGGAGGATGGCGGTGGCGGTGGCGGTGCAAACGACTGCTGCTGCTGTTGCACGGGGTACGGGTTGTGCGGAATGTGGCGGATCGTCTGCATGACGGGCGAGCCCGGGTAGCTCCGCGGCGACTTGTCTTCGGTGAGGCGCTGGAGCCGCTTCTTGTGAACGTAAAACGCAAAGACACCGAGGATCGCAACGACGCCAACGACAGCCGAGACGATGATGAGAATGTTGGACACGTTGCCACTGTCGTTGCCCGACTGCTGGCTCACGGCGTTGGCTTCCGGCGTCGCATTCGACGGCTTCATTGTCTTGCTCGAAGCCATCGGCGTCGTCACTGGAGTTGACGTCGGACCCGAGCGCGAGTCGGTCGACGTTGGTGCCGGGCTCGTACTCGGTGCGTCCGATGAACTGGGGCTCGGAGCGTCTGTCGGCGCCTCCGTCGGGATGCTCGTAGAGCTCGATGGAGCAGGAGACGAGCTTGGCAATGGGCTCGGCGAGGCGCTTGGAGACGCCGATGGGCGAGCTGGTGAAGGGTTAGGTGAAGGCGCTTGCGTTGGCGCCGTCGTGGAAGGGGACGGACTCGGGCGTGGCGACGACGGACTGGGTGGTGCCTGGGTCGGACTGGGTGAAGGCGGCGACGGAGCTCGCGTTGGCGGAGACGGAGTCGGTGCCGGTGGTGATGGACTCGGTGGCGCTGGAGCCGGTGTCGGAGCCTGCGTCGGAGCCGGTGTCGGAGCCTGCGTTGGAGCTGGCGGTGACGGGCTTGGTGGTGGCGGCGTCGGGCTCGGCGGTGAGGGACTTGGGCTCGGCGAAGGGCTTGGCGGAGCCGTCGTCGGAGCATTGGTATCGTTGATAGACGGCTTGGAGGTGCTATTGTTGTTGTCGTTTGCACCAAATCCTTCGAGGTGCGTTGGGATGCCGAGCACAACGATGGGTGTCGCGCCGCGCTGCGCATCGGCAACGACCGCGACGAGTGCAATGAGGAGGCACAGTGCCCAAGATGTCTTGAGCAACATGAAGTACTCTGTACTAGCCAGCGAGACGTGGAATGGCAGCGACTTTGCCATTGGGACACCCACCAAACCGGCTACGTTCAGAACGCGCCAAGGGCTTCGAAAATGCCACGCGTTCTAACTTCGAACTTCGATTTAACTCTATTTCAAGTCTTGCCGTCGCGAGGGCGCATGTACCATCGAATCAAAGTCATAGCGCGAGGCCACCCTCGTATTGCTCCAAGCACGACACAGCAATCCATCTACGCATCCCATGCACAACACCTAGCTCCAAACCAATCGCAACTTGCATGCTTACACTATTTAATGTACATCAGACACAGCGTGCGAACTTCGAATACGGAGTTTCAAAACCAAGTGGTAGTTCGAAACGTGAGAGGACAGTTTCGGTGCAAAAGGTATACGTGGCAGCCTGTGGTGGCCGAGGACGGGCTTGACGTCGCGCATTACTGCTGCAGGCGCCTGACGCCTCGTGGTAGCCAAGAATACGCGGCGACACGCGGTATCTTCCGCGCAACGTCCTGGAGACGGTCGCGCTGGGTGCTCGACATCCTTGGTCGCTCGCTGGTCAAGAGTATCGAGGCTGCAACGCGAGAGACTGCTTCTCCGCACGCCGCTCCAATCTCGTCTGTGCAAGGTGTCGACCAGTGTGTGTCGATGGCCCGGATCCAAGCAGTAATGACCAGAATCATTGACCCGCGACCTATCCAGTACTGTACCGTGTCCTGGCTAGGAACGAGGAAGCTGACAAGGATTCTGCTACCTACACATAGTGTTCTGATTCTCTAACATCGAATCACTCATGCGTCATGTAGCCAGTGTTTGGTTGTCAAGATTGTTGCAGAAGTGGAAGGGTTAATAGCGCTGCTTGTCGTGTCGTCGCGGCAAGAGGATGGATGCGCTCTGTGGCTATTACCTCCACGAGATCCAACGAAGAGCTCTATCCATTCCATAGCTCAACTATTACATATATCTAAACCACGGCCCTTTCGCGTGTTGGATGCCAACAGCCTGCTTTGCAGCACACGCGCCCACAGTCTTCTTTCCGCTTGTCAAATCAACACCTTGTTGCTACTAAAACATCGCTTCGGCTCCATTCACATGGCGTAAAGTCAGGTCTCAAGTATGCACGTTTGTTTATAGACAAAAGGAAATATGGAAAAAGTACTAATACTAAATAGAGGTCAGACGTCGTTCTGGCCGAGGTACACGGGTGTGTCGAGCATGGCCTGGAAGCGTGTCGTGTCCATGTACGGGCTCAGGGACGAGGTTTCTTGGAGCGCCGCCATATCGACGCCGTAGCCCGAGTGCAGCACTTCAATCGCACTGCTGCTGCTGTCATCCTCCTCCTTGTCGTCGTCGTCGTCATAAAGTGACGAATGGTCGTCGTCGCCAAGCTGGGGGGGTGACGCGTCGTCGTCTTCTTCCAAAAGCTCGGACGGGCCTCCGGTCAAGAGCAACCGGTCCGAGAGCACGCTGCAATAGATGTCTTCCGAGTAGCTGCTGTTGAGCAAGGTCGAGTGCGTCGTCGAGATGCTGTTGCCGCCCGCAAACGACGGGCTCAGCGAGTACGCCGATTCAGTGCACGTCTCAAACGGCGGGTCCGTCGTCATCGAGTCCATCAGATCGAAGATCGGGTTGGTGCTTCGGAGCAGCTCGTTTGTGGCTCCGAGGTCGCTCGGTCCGTTGCGCAAGCTAAAGTAGGAGCTGACCGACGAGTCTGATGACGCGACTGGCGACGGTGGCTTCTCGCGCCGCGACTGCCGCACCCAGAGGACAGAGGCGATTGCGACCACGCACCCCAGGGTACCACACACAAGTGGCCACAGCACGCCTGCGCCGAGCATGGAAGTGGCGTCCTCTATGCAGCCATTCGATGAGATGGTACTCACTGCAACGCGGGGATTGGAGGAACTACCGGATGTGGAAAGGGTCGTGGTCGTCGGCAGCATGATGCTCATCGTCGTTGGCTGGGCGGAGGGGAGGGGAACAGTTGTGCTATTCGACGCATGGATCGTAGCCGTTGGCGCCGACGTGTTGGGCTCAAGCGTCGGGCCCACGGTGTCCGGACGTTCGGGGTCCGCGGTCTCGGGCTGTGGGGCTAGGGTCGTCGGGGCCATCGTCGGTCGTGGCGTTGCAGTGGCAATGGGCGTCGTTGTCGGCGTCGTGGTCGGTGTTTCCAGCGGTGTCGTCGTCGTTGGCACCGAGGTTCGTGTTGAGCAGCACCGTCGTCGGTGTCGGCGTCATCGTGGTCGGCTCGAGCAAGAGCGTCGTCGGCGGCTCCGTGTCGTTGCCTTGGCCGGCGGCCAGTGCAGCGCAGGCAGCCAGCAGTCCAAGGAGCTTTGTCATCTTGCCGACTTGATCCGAAATGAGAGCACCGTGCAGACTGCGTGAGCCTGATCCGTGCCATGATTGACGCGGTGCATGGATTTTTCTCAAACCGAGTCTCGATTGGCGTCGCATCGAAAAAACATACCACGTTTTGTATACCGCGGGCTCAAACTCAAGAATAGCGTATATCGTGGCGTCTGTAATGGACGCGAGTGCCACGCCCCGCAAGCCGCAGGCTTCTACCTGGGCTTCTACGCCTGTATGTCGGCGCGTCAGTCGATGACAGCGCGGGCTCACTGCAACGGTCGTGCTGACCGAACCCTGCGATGTTGTCCCCTTTGCCTCCAGTATACACTTGGACACACACAACCAGCGACGTCGCACCCACCGACCGAACGCACCTGCGCGCGGTACTACCATCGGTCGCAAGGACGGCGCCATTACTACCTGTGACGAAGAACACATCGATCCATTATCACGAACGCATTCCATTGATGAACATACCACCATACTATCTCGTAGCACAACCAAGACGATCTCTCTAGAGACAGCACGCTTTTTTGGGCGCGACGTCCGAGTCGAGCGATGCGCACTTGCGCTTGATCGGCAGCAAGGATTTCGTTGATGGTGGCGTCTTAGCAGCAAAGAGGCGGTCTCGGGTCGGGATGCCTTGCTGGGCCAATGGCGGGTCGCCTTCGTACGACACCAAAATGTCGCTGCGGGGCATATCTCCGTATTTCTCAACGAGTCGCTGTCCGAACGCGTCGAGATTGACGGCACCGGGTGGCACAAGGTCGGCGCAGGCCTTTGGCAGCGCAAGCAGCAATCGCTCGAGCACGAGTTCGTCCGTGAGGAGCGCGCGGCCGCGCGTGCGCCGCGTGTAGTCGTTGACGCTCCTGACGATGCTGTGCATGCGCTGGAGGAGCTCGTGGATGCAGTCAAAGTTTGCGTCAAACACGTCATCAAACAAGTCGGCGAGGACGCGCTCCATGGGCGCGTGCGACGACGGATGGTACTCGTCAACGACCGCCGCCCACAGCTTGTGCATGGGCATGTCCTTCGAGAGGCACTCGGCCACAAACGCCGACGGCAAGCTCGCGAACAATGTCTTGCGCAGGTCTGTGATCAGAACGGATTGCACGCGGGACGGCGGCGGCTCGGGCGTCGTGAGCAGCTCAATGTACGAGACAGCAGGCGCAGCCAGGCCTTTCTGGGCAAATACGACCTCGACGTCGCGCTGGCGCTTGGCGAGCATCGCCATCAGCGTTGCCTCCCACGCGACAAAGTCGTAGATGTGGCCGCTGAAGCGCGCCATGGCGGTCGAACGTGCAACGCAGCGCATTTTGTCCAATCACCGATCGTGCTGGACGATCGACCAATGAAACTATTTTCGGCACATGCCACACGATCCGATACAAGTCGCAGGGCGGAGGGCTGACTGATGTGACGAGATATCGAACAATCACGCGTCTCGTGCAGTCTGTATACTAGTTGATTATTTCTAGTTGTAGTAGCTTGGTCTGTCGAGCGGTCCGAACGCCGTCGCTTGCATCTGATATAACTACTGCCCGTCATCCCAGCACGCGACTCGAGTTCACGAGAATGGTATCTAGTGAACGTTCAACTTGACATAATTAAATAGACACACCGCTTGCCGCGGGCGGCTTAAAAAAGGTTGATCTTCATGCGCACCATTTCCTCGAAACGCGTCGAGTCCATGGACCCGAGGTCGGACGAGCTCCGCCTCCCACTCGACGAGTCCGACACATAGTACGGGCTGTCGATCTCGTGGAGGTCCAAGTCCCGCGGGTGCGCCTCGAATTGCGCGGCGACGTCCATGTCGAATTCGTCCGCGCAGGGCCCTAGCACGGCGACCTTGGGTGTCGAGACCGTCGACTTATACGACGATCGCGCGGGCAGCGGCGTTTCGACCGAGAGAAAACTTGGCGAGAGTCCGTGGCTGTCGTGGCCAAGTGTTCGGCGCTCGCGCTTGCGCTTGACGAAGAAAAGGACGATGACGACGAGGAGAATGCCGCAAATTGCGCCGAGCGTAAAGGTTAGCGTTGTGTGGAGCGTCGCGTTGGGGTCTACGCCACGTGAGGAGTCACTGCACGCGTTGAGCTCGGAGGCGTACCCGTCACGACAGTCACGGTCGCGGTCGGCGGGACGGTGGTCGTCGCGGCAGTATTGGACGTTGGTACTGCGCTGCTGGTTGCTGTTAAAGGCGCCGTTGTGGACGGCACTCCAGTCACTGGCGACGTTGTCGGGAGTGAGCTGGTGGTGTTTGCGGCCGCCGCCAGCATTGCCAGCATTGCCAGCATTGTCAGCATGGGCACAAAAGACCGGCTGCTGCGACGTTGCATGCGCGTGGAATCTTTGGAAGTGACCGCGACTTGAAGTGTGATAGACAGGCCGCGCCAATCCGAGGCGCACCCAACTCTGACTAAAAGTCCATATCGGATTTTGGTTTGCCATTCAGCTCAGCCTTACAAAAGCACTCTTTTATATAGTGGATTCCAATAAAAATGAAAATACTTTGTATATCTATTCCATATTGCGTACAAAATCCAAACTCCACGACGCGAGGTGGTATCGTGGCTACCGCACGGGGGTCATAAAGGCGCCAAGTCTGAGATATATGGTACCCAGAACGCGCGCTTTGGCTCATTTCTTGAAAAGGATTGTCTGCAGCTGGCACAAGCATTGACCAGCCCAGCTCGTCACAATCGACGAGGTGGCCGCACCACTGCGACATCGACCATCAACGGCAGCCGAGCGTCATCCAGAGGCGTCGATAACTGCACACCATGTCAGAACACGACGCGTATGCACAAGCTCGATTACGAGCGCTGGGCAGCTGCATATAACACGCATGCGTCCTCTGCAAAGGCACGCTTGAAATTCCAGCTCGGCAGGCGCAAAATGATGCCGTTGAGAAGTGGCCCAACAACTTGCCATCTCTGGACTGCGGCAGCTTGTCCCAGCGCATCATGGGCAGCATGTGGGAGTACGAGCTCTACTGTACTAGTACGTCTATGTCAAGGACATGGCCGCCCGCACCGAGTCGCTCTTGTGCTCTACTACTGTTTCGCCTCGTACCTCGGCAAGCGGTCCTCTCCATCTCAAATCAAGCAAAAGGAACTTCTCAACACACTCCATCCGAGCAAAGACGAGGGCGGCGACCAGGAGAGGGACTCGAGTTGCGTCTTTCTTCTGGTCGCCACAGGCTGTTGAGTGACTTGACAGCCTGTGGCGTCCGAAAACGACCCAGAAGTGCGACGCGCACGAGTTCTCTTGTGCGAAAACAACGATGACAGGGTCAAAGACTACCGTGGCAACGAACGGCAAAGCATTCCAGCACATTGCTCGTTGGATTGTCTATCTATTAATTGAATAAGGACTTTTTTGCGCGAAGCGCGGCACGAGCGCAGCGAGGGCACCCGGCGGTAGCCGGGCCCGTGCGCTAGCACGGCAACGTTATTGGAGCTCTAAATAATGTGTTTTGACGCGCGTAGCGCGTCGGGAAGGGTCACATTCGGTTAAGTACGTCTGGCCTGTTAAAGTCACACTTTTTGACTTGGTGTTTGTAGCAACGTTACAAGTGCGCATCCGTACTTAAGGGAACCGCGCGCAGCGCGCCACGAGCGAAGCGAGTGCACCCGGCGCAGCCGGGTCGTGCGCGGTAGCGCACACCACGAGCGTAGCGAGTGCATCTGGTGGTAGCCAGAGTCCACGCGGTAGCGCGGTTGTGGCATATGCCTTTGGTGTTTGTAGTATTATCATATCGCACTTAATCGGACCTGATCCGCGCGCAGCGCGCCACGAGCGAAGCGAGTGCATCCCGCGATAGCTGGATTCCGCGCGGTAGCGCGGTAACGGCATATGGCATGTGCAAGCGTAGCGAGTGCTTTTGGCATGGATGCGCGAAGCGCCAACCACGAGTGTAGCGTGCGCACCTGCGGTCGTGCACGGCAGCGCGGTAGGATGTGTTCGCGCGCTTGCATCCGGCGGTGGATGGATAGCGCGCGGTAGCGCGGTTGGGGCATAGACCATGTGCGAGCAGAGCAAGTGCATGTGGCATTGATGCGCCAACCACGACCGTAGCGTGGGCACCTCCGATGGTGCACGGCTTCGTGTTAGGATAGTGTGCGCGCGCTCGGCCACGATGTGGCGGCGCGGCGCAGAGAGGCGGTTAATGATGGTGGTCATGGTAAAGAGGCGCTTATATATGCCGTGTGCGCGCGTTGCGAGTGCGTTTGGCATCGATGCGCCAACCACGAGTGTAGCGCGAAGGCGCAGAGCAAAAGCTCCGGTCATGTTGGGACGCCAGTGTTGGGCGACCAGCGCGTGCGGGAGTCGCGGCAGCGCCAAGCTGCGAGCGCCGCGGCACCAGCGACTGCGATGGAAGGAACCCACTGGAAGGAACCAAGGAGCTGCGATGTTAGTTTGCTGCCGACGGCTTGGATGATTGTCTATCGTGCTGCACTTTCTGGGAAATCGCGCGTGTAGGACGGCCTGCGACGGAGCGACGAAATTATGGCACTGCATCACGAGACGGGTAGAATAGCTGGGCCGGGCCGAGTACATAGCTGATTCGACGCCGTTCGGCGCACCGCAGCGAAGCGGAGGTCGCTTTCGGCGCACGCGCCCATCACACATTTGCCATGTGAATGCGTTTCTGCATTGGGCAGGGTGTGCTGAATGGTACATGAAAGCGAACACCGATGATTGATGGCATCCACTCAGTCCATGCTACGACACCGACGCACCGCTAGATTGCACGCTGCCCCGATACCAAACTGAAACCAAAAGATTCCACTGCACCCTGCACATACCTTCTACACAAACGAAACTACTGCGCATGCGACGCCGAAAGACCGCTAGATGGCCCACCGGCCCTATCTAAACCACAAAGATCAACCACGCCCTGCCCCAAGAAAACACGAGGTGTGGGGCAGGGTACGTTGAACGTTGCACGCAAATGCACATGATTCCGTACACCGACGAGTCCAAACTACGACACACGCAGTACACGATCCCACCGCTAGATTGCACGCTACCCCAATGCGAAACCTCGACCAAAGAGCTCCTGCCCCAAGAAAACACGGGATTCACCCTAGTTTGCACAGTAGAGTACAGTAGTTATGATACGTTCAAAAGTCAACAGCAACAGAACAGCGACGGTCGTCTGCGACCAACGCGTTCTGTTGATTTTACAGGTCGTCAAGCTGGAATTGAGTTGATGGATGTTCACGCCGTTGCCCCGTCAGAAAAAGAATATACATTGCGAGAGGTGTTCTAGAGCGTCAGTTGAGATCCGACATCGAGACCTTTCTGTCATGAGCATCCTCTCAGCTCTTCGCCACACTTCGCAGCACGGGTCGCTTCTCCCGCGCCGCTTCTTCTCGATCCCCAGCTCTCGCCCACTTGCGCTCGTGGTCGCCCGGCACAAGCTAGCGCCAGAAGCACCGGACCGCTTTTACTTCCACTACAGCAACCCGATCGACTGGCCCCTTGTGCTCCAAGACGAGCTGGGACTCCCACGGACCCCGAAGGTCCTCAGCGTCTTTAGCTCGTTCAGTGGCGAGTCGGATCCGGGCGTCCCAGCGACCTTCAACATTTCGTACGACAAGCTCATGGACACCAAGGCGTACTTTCAGGAACAGGAAAGACGCTACAACGAGCTCATGGCTGCTTTCAAGAAGAACGGCCAGATTCGTGATGCACACATCAAGGCTCGCGATGCAGAGATGGCAATCCTTTTGAGAGATGCAAAGGACTTGCGCGAGAGATGGGCAGCGCTCGAGCACGAGCGCGATCTCGACGAGCTCGGCGACTTTGCCGTTCGATACTGCGAGTTTAAGATCGCCTCGCAGCCACGTGCGCCGACGGTGAGCGCAGGGAAGAAACGCAAGTCGAAGAAGAGCAAGAAGTCATCGAAGCACGCCAACGGTCACTCTCTGGTACCTACTGTGCGTCCAAGCAACGAATGGGTCTTTCGTCCCTACCGCTACACGAAGCTCTGCGAGATCATCGCCAAGCTGACACCAGATGATTTTCCGGATCAACCCGACGCCAAGCTCGTCTTTCAAGCAGGGCTCGAGGAGTTTGAGCGCTTTGCCACCGAGGCTCAGAAGCGATTCTCGCTGCTTTAAAAGGTCCAACGAGGCGCATTTACGTTCACACTTGGTACTTACTTTCCTTCGGGGCCAGAGCGCCACTCATGCATACAAAAGGGATGAAACGGGCTACCGCCTTTTTAGGTGGACCCGCGGATTGCTTGAATACTGTACATTACCGGAACCGGTAAGCTTGTGATTGTAACTCTAACATATGCACCCAAGGTATTAATACATGTTACATTTACATGAAACACGTCATCGATACATCGTTAAGTTGAAACATTGAAACTAGGTAGCTACCGTAATATATGTCTGGATGGTCCACTAATTGCTCTTTGTTGTTGCACAGCATCATTGCACTACATGTCGTCATCAATATATACTAGTATACATCGTGAGCAATAACAGTCCATCGCAACGAACGAGGCAGCGGCGATTTTGGCGCGCAAAATCTCGCTAAAATCTCGCTATCTCAGCAAACAGCACAGACGTGGTCGCCATGCCTTAATAGAGGTTTTAGGCGCCATATTTTTTCGTCCTATCCTCCTCATTAGATTCCCATTTATATACAAGAAGGTAGATTGTTCAAAAATATTTCTATTATCTAAATATGCCTTCTCCGCGATATTAAATAGTAGAGGTCTACGTTTACCTCCCTATTTCGATTCGACTTGATACTGCATTTTTCGCGTTGCAGTCCGACCATCAAGGCTCTTGTCGGTATGCACGTCGTCTCGGCTCTGCGTCGCGCGCCGCCGGGCCGGTCGTACTTCTCGCGCTTCTCCTCGTTCACTAGCGCGAGCGGCCGGGTGCTGGTGGTCGCTCGCCACGAGCCCGAGACACCCAAGCCCCAAGATCCCTTCAGCTTCTACTGCAACTTCCGCGACCCGGTCGACTGGCCCAAGGTGCTGAAAGAGAAGCTTGGGCTTCGACGGCTCCCGAAGGTCCTCAGTGTCGTCGACTCGCTCGGCGACGAGTCGGATCCGGGCGTCGCGACGACCTTTACCGTCACGTTTGACGCGACCAAGGTTGAAGCTTGCGATGCAGAGCTCGACGAGCACGTGCGTATGTCGAACGCTCAACTCCGCGATGCCAAGAAAGCCATGGAGAAGGATGCCAAGACCTACTATGCTGATGTCAAGGCCTACAAGACACGGATTGCAACGCTCGAGAAAGACTTGAAGGACTCACGCGCGTCTTGTGAAGCGCTCGAGCACGAGCGCAAGCTCGACGAGCTCGGTGAGTTTGCCGTCAAGTACCGCAAGTTTATTGTCGGCTTTGAGCCGACCGCGTCGCCGCCGAGCAGCGGAAAAAAACACGTACGGCAAGTCCAAGGTCAAGAACCGCAAGTCGACGAGCAAGGATGAGAGCAACACGGCCAATACAAAGACCAAGATGTCCAACCAGACGTCCAAGTATGCCCATTTGAACCCGGCTTGGGACTCTGCTGTTTCCCGCCGCAACAGCCGTGCTCACGTGCCGTATTGTTACGGCAATCTTTGCGCAACCATCGACGCGTTGAAGCCCAATGACTTTGCAGACTGCCCCGACGCCAAATCCGTTTTTCAGGAGGGACTCGAAACGTTTGAGCGCCACGCTTCGGACGCCCAGAAGAATAATCCCCATTTCCGTTAATTAATCCTCAACACGACTTTTCACGTCGTGTTGCACTTCCTACATTTCTTATTGCAGGAGACCCTCGTATGCCATGAGCGCTACTTCTGTTGCTAAAATCGCCCATGAAAACAATAATAGAGCACCATCGCTACAACCACGACTCCAACGACTCCAACTACACCTGTGATGTCAACGGGAGGACAGAAGAGTGTTGGCTATCCTAGTTCCGACATCAAGAAACGTACTACAAGACCAGGCGGAAAACACTTCGCAACCACCAAGTCTTTTTTTCTCACGCGACCTGGCAACCTAGCAAAATGGCTTCCTGCAGACAGGTAGCGCCTCAAAGTTGATGGCTCGACACACGGGCGGTCGACGTGTTCCTTGAGGTCCACGATGACGTCTACCAGACTTTCGTATCGAGGAGATCCACCACCTCGTCGCACTTGGCGTTGACGTATTCTTTCGAGAGCGCAAAGACGGACGACGACAACGTGAGGCGGTAGCCGTACGCGAGTCGCCCGGCGTCGCTCACGTAGTCGTCAATCTTGAGAAACGCAATCTCGACCTGCGGGCCAAAGATCGTCTGCAATACAGGCGACAACTTGGCGTCCGAGAAGCCGTCGTTGATCCAGAAGCTAATGTCGCGCGTCCACATGAGCGGAAAGCACGCGCTGTGGCCGATCGCGTCGCCGCAAAACACATGCGTGAGCCCGGCGTGCGTCCGAAAGGCCTTTTCTTGGAGGCGGTGGCCGACGCTGTTGTAGCCGAGCTGAAAAAGTGCGTCAACTGGCGCTTCGTGGACGTCGTAGAGGAGAAAGCCGGCGCTCGCGGCGCACTGCGCGACCTGCCACGTGTCCCCAAAGGCGCGGACGATGGTCTCGGCCGGCGTGCCACCTTGGCCCGCACAGAGGGTGACCCAAATTTGCCCGTGGGGAGCGAGCACGTGATGGCAGCTATGAAAGAACTGCGTGAGGAGCTGTCGGTGCTTGTTGATCTTGTTGCGCTTGTTGCCGCCCTCGGCGTAGTGCGGAAAGTTGAACACGATCCGGTCAAATGGCTCAGGACCCAGCAAGTCTTTGTACGTTTCGAGCTTGGTCGCGTTAAAGTCATGGAGCACCGTGATGTCGTGGTCGCGGATCTCGGCCAGCTTGGCGGCCGAGCCAGGGTACATGCGTGCGAGCTCGTCCGCCGTGTCGAGTGACGTGGCTATGATGCGCAGGCGAGGCAGCGGTCGGCGCTGGCGCTCGGCGTGCAGATGCCGGGCGAGAGCGCATGTGTAGGAGAAGTTGCCGTCACCGACAATGAGCACGGACGCTGGTGCAGCACCGACGAGGACGCCGAGGTCCGTGAGGTCGCCAACTCCAGCGCGCATCCTACGGCCAATTGGAAAATTACCCAATCGCTGTGCACGAAACAAATCGAAATGGACCAATCAGCGTTGCCTATCATGGTGTGTCTCTGCCGATTCCAACATCAAGGCGAACCTGTCAAAGCCAAACCAGCATCGTGTGCTTGCTTCTACCAATGATGGTCAACCAAGCAAGCACTAGAGAAGCTTACGAGTCCATCGGGTTGTTCTGAAGCCTTTTGTTTGCACGGAGGCATGCTATCGCGGCATGTCCAATCGACCATAGTACAACCCATGTTGGTTTTTATTCCCTTGGTCACGACGCGGAAATTGATGCAACGACCCACACGGTTGTGCCATGTACTGCAGTAGTCTCAAAACTCAGTTCATTTCGTTACGCGACGATTTGACCCGAAGTACGAGCGGCGAGAGCTCCGGGGTTCGAAGTCCTGTCGCTTCACTGAGCGCGGCCAGATGATTCATGATCGCAGTTTCCGAAAAGATCCAAAAGAGAACACAGGCCGCGGCCGCGCCCAAGGCGACGAGCGGGTCGACACCGCGCGGGGCCATCACCATGAGCACTTGGCCGCTTGCAAGCGGGAGAAGCGGCCAGCCCACCATGAGGGCCCACCAGCAATGGATGATGCGCTTCACATTGTGCCGATCCGTCGTCGCAGGCTGTGCGCCCCAATAGTGCAGTCCGCGCAGCAGAAAGATCCACACCATGCAGAGTGCCATGGCGCCAAAGAGCAGCCACACAACCGCACCGTCGAGCCTTTCATTCCGCAGGACCGCTTCCGCAATGAACTTCATGCTGACGCCCAGCGCCAAGATGGTCGGGAGCAGCAGCACGTGGAGAAACGTGAACAAGGACGCGCGCCGCACCGACTGGTGCACCGCGTGCATCGTCCGCGGCGGTTTGACCGCAAAGTAAAAGAGCGCGAGGGCAAAGTTGACGAGCATCGAGAGCAGCATCATGACGTAGAAGCGGCTTGGGAGCGGCGACGACACGTGGCGGCTGTTGATCACGGCGCTCACGACAGCTTCGCCGAGCGCGACAAGCACCAGCGAGCCTTCGCGATCGGTCATGTGCTCGACGTTGACCGGGATACCATCGCCTGGCGCGACACACCAGTGTCGAATGCGACTTGCGTAGAGCACGACAATCTCGAGCACCAGCAGGACCCCGTACGCGCTGGAGCTGCACGTCGGACGGGCGATTGCGAGCAGGAGCACGGTGCAGCTGCACGCGAGGATCGCCATGTCGACGCGGAGACGGTCCCGCGATGCAGGCAGCACGCGGTAGACGGCGGCGTTCATCAAGAGCAGCGCGACGCGCACGAGGAGCAGGCCGATCGAAAAGTGCCGGCCGGGCTCGCTTGCCAGCACCATGGTGCCAAGACCGCCGAGGAGGATGAACAGCAGCGCGTAGTGCGCGAGCGACGACTCGCTGAAGCGGCCGTGGAAGTGCGCGTACCAATGCCAACTCGTGACGTACAAGCTCGTCATGAGGCCGAACGCGATGAAGCCGCCGAGCGTGAAGTCGTCTTTGAGCTTCTCGGCCACGTTGGCGAGGAGGATGAATAGCAGCGCGTAGTGTGCGAGCGACGACTCGCTAAAGCGGCCGTGGAAGTGCGCGTACCAATGCCAGCTCGTGACGTACAAGCTCGTCATGAGGCCGAACGCGATGAAGCCTTCGAGCGTGAACTCGTCTTTGAGCTTCTCGGCCACGTTGGCGCAGGCCGCGACGAGCACAAGGTCCAAGAAGAGCTCGAACCACTCGGAAGATTTCTCTTCGTACTCGCCGCTCCAGTCGGCCGAGAGGCGCGGGCGGCTATGGAACGTGCGCAACTCCATCTCGGAATTGAGCTTCTGCGCCACCCACGCCGCCTCGCCAATGAGATACCGCGAGGCAACGCCGTGTCGCAGGCCATACGTGGCAGCACCAGGCGCCAGTTCCTGTCGATTCGAATTTCACACTACAAATATTTGTAGAAATCCCAGACCTCTCTCGCACTTTCGTCCATCAAGCAGCGAGACCGGACGTCAGTTCATTCCGTGTCATACCGAGGCCTCAATGAACCATCCGAGGCATCCGGCACCATGCTTGCTCAGGGGGGTCGCCACGTTAGGCAAACCAAGGCCATTGGGTGCGCTACCGAGTAGTGCTGCCACCGCTCCATGGTGACTGGGCTCGTGATGTGCTATAACTATAAGTGCTGCAGTACGATTGCGAGCTGCGTGGACGCGGTCCGAGGTCAACTGTAGCAACCTTAGTAGTGCAACACACGCTGGTGTTATGACCAACATGTCAATGGCCGGTAGGGCAGAATGGCCTCGCCGACTCGAGGCCACTCGGCTCCAACTTCAAAACTCAAGCAAAGACCTCCTGCATTGATGGTCTGATGCGAGGTCTGCCGCCTAGCTCGACAGCAGCGGGCTTTTTTCAGTGCGAAGGTGGTGGATGTCGCCGTAGCCCGTCGCGGCGAGAAGGTGCATGATGGCCGTCTCGCTCACAAGCCACACGACAACGCACGCAACAGCGACGCTGAGCGCGGTGATCGGGTCCACGGGTCCTTGCCAGCTCAACGCGTATGCGCATACCAAGAGCAGAAGGGGCCACACGACAAAGATGCTCCACCAGGCGTACTTGATGCGCTTGACGCACGGCGGGTCCGTCGCTTCGGGTTGGCGGCCGCCAAAATGCAGGAGACGCAGCACAAGCATGAGCGTCATCGCAGCCGAGATCGCACCAAAGAAGAGCCATACGGACGTTGGCGCGAGCAACTCGTCGGCCAAGACGGCCGCCGACACGAGCTTGGTGCCGACGCCAACGACGAGCAAGGTCGGCACGAGCGCAAAGTGCACGTACGTGAACACAAAGCCCGTGACGTACGACCGGCGCAGTGCGTGGAGCTCGCGCGGCGGCTGCAGCGAAAAGTAGTAGATCGCAAGCGACAGGATCACAAAGAGCGAGAGCTGCATGGCGACGTAGAAGCGCGGCGTGAGCACAAGGTCGCGGCTGTTGATGACGGCGCTCACGACCGACTCGCCGAGCGCGACCATGACGAGGCAGCCCTCGCGCTCGTTCATGTGGTCAATGTTGAGTGGGACGTGCACGGTGCGAAAGCGGAGCCAGACCGCGGATGCAAACTGCATGACCGATTCGAGCACGAAGCCGAGAAGGTATGTCGGCAGCGTGAACGACGGCGGCAGGTGCAAGCTCGCAATCAGCAGTGCGATCGAGACAAGCTGCAGCGAAACGTCAACACGGAGCTTGGGACGTGCGCGCGGGAGGCAGCCATAGACCGAGAGCTTCATCAGCACGATCGACGAGCGCAAGACGATGAGGCCGAGTGTAAAGGTCGGTGACGGCTCCGACGACAGTACCATTGTGCCGAGGCCGACGAGAAGCATGTACAGGAAGAGATAGTGCAGCAGCGACGTCTCGCTGTAGCGCGCGTTGAAGAGCGTATACATGTGCCACACCGAGACGTACACGAGGCTCATGGCACCAAAGAGGAGGAGGCCATGGACGCTCACGTCTTCCTTGAGGCCTTCGGCGACGTTGGAGCAGGCAGCGACCATGATGAGGTCGAGGAAGAGCTCGAACCAGCCCGCCGACTTCTCCTCGTACTCGCCGCTCCAGTCGGCAGACAGCGTCGCGCGCCCATAGAATGTCCGGAGCATCGCTTTCGCCAAGTAAAAATCGGCATGTGCCACTTGCCACCGCCTGTCGCCGCGCATGTGATAGGGCGGAACACCTGCCCACAACCAGTAGTTGCATCGCTCGTTCAGACCACACGCTGGAGCGCTGCGTGTCGGAGTAATCATCCTCGGCTAGCTCCCTCCGTTGCCTCGGCAAAGTCGTTGAATGCACGAGTGCCTTTATAGCCTTTAGGCTTGCGGCGTTGTCACTGGCTTGTACCGCACCATCTAGCGACGGCGACGTCCTGTGTCGCTCACTCTCGCTACGGTTGGCGAGTTGCTTGGTGGGCTGGAGGTGAGCTCGGCTCGGTATTTCTCGAAAAGGCGTGAACGGGTTCGAATTTTAGGCTCCGCCAATGAGCGGCCGTGCACGCAGCATACGCGCTATTGATTGGATGAGCGCATTCTACATTCTGTGCTGTCTGATTGGCCGACGTGAGATCTTGCCAACACGACTTGGACGCTCTTCCGTGGACTTGGCGGCAAGACGACCGAGTCGATGCTCTTGCTGCGTGGTCTTTCAACGGCTGCATTGCCATCGCCATATTGAACGTGTTGAACATACTGTGTGACCCTGTGTGTGACCGCTTCCTGGCACTTTTTAAAAATTCCCTCCTCCCACCCTTGTCGTCGACAGGGCTACGCACCTCTACGAGCCCCTCAGCGAGACCGACCCATCGGTACAGGCTTCTTGGAAGGTCCAGGGACACACCTTGTTACACAGCATTTTGCCGCCAGCGATGGCACGTTGCGCACATGAATGACACCCAAGGCGCGCGAGCTCAAGGGACATCCAAATTGATTTTGTCCTTTGCGAATAGTAGAAGAGCCTTGACGACTCGGATTTATTCGCAGCGAGACAGGAGCCGATGTGCACCTAAGTGCGTCGTCGCAGGGGTTCTTCCAGGCTTCTGGATAAGTCAATCGGTGACGTCCACGACCAGCGCGATGCAAGAAAGATCCCCAACGCGATATCCAATAAAAAGAATTCGTGTCCATTGCCTTGGTTGACGTATGCAACATAAACATTTGTAATAAAACGCCCTCGGCCAGTCGCTTGGAATAAAATGCCATACGGTCTATACAAACAGGTATATATTTCTTTGAATTAAAAAAACGCGGCGCCGGCGGTCCGAGATTTTCTTTCCGCTTGCAACGGGGAAGACAGCAGGAGCCGCAGCACGACGCCGAGCGCAGCATGAACGACCGACCGACGACGCATGAAGATGCTGGCGAAGGAACCCAGGCCGAGGGACATGCGTCGGCCTCGACCGCAGGCAGCATCGACCTCAACGTCAAGACCCTCGACCACCGCGTCTTCCGCGTGACCCTCCTCGCGTCGTCGTCCGTGCCACAGCTCAAGCGCAAGATCGAGGACGAGACAGGCGTCGTCTCGGACCGCCAGCGCCTCATCTTCCGCGGCAAAGTTCTCAAGAACGAGCGCGATCTGGCGTTCTATGCGCTTGAAGATGGACACACGTTGCACCTCGTAATCCGGCCTTTGGACGCGGAACAAGCAGTGGCCACGCCTGAGCAAGCGCCACAGCGGGCGCCGACGCCGTCGCCGACCGCGAGCAGCACCTCATCGACGAACGATGAACCGGATCCGTCGCTGCTCAACCCGTCGGCGAACACTGGTGGATTGCCGATGAACCGCGTCCTCATGGGGCAACGATCACGCTCCCGGAAGGCCAGCGGGGCATGCCCTTCTTGCAGTCGATCCTCTCCAACATCATGAGCACAGTGCAGGGACTGCACGACGAGAACGGTGAAGTGGCGCCACCGGAACCGGCGCAAGCACCGCAAGAAGCCCCGCGGCCGCGCGGTCGCACTGTGAACGCGTCACCCCTCGAGCGGGTCGTCCGACGTGCTTCAAGCAACCGCTCCCGCGCCAGCCGCCTTGAGAGCACGCTGCGCACGATCTCGCAGTACTTGGACAACGCAGGTACTTTTGTGGTCATCACATCGAGGCGCATGGTGCGATCGTGCTGTAGCAACTGCCTTTCCGGCGAGCGTGACCGAAGCCACGAACATTCCGGCGCTGAACGACGCCGACTTTGAGACGCTTCGAGACCAACTCGCGTCGTATGTGGCGCTGCTCGAGCGCTTCCAGCCGCAACTGGCGCACATCCCGACCACCTTGCAGCTGCTCCATGCGCTCCGCGACGATCGCACCGCCCAAGGGCCGTTGGTGGTGCCGTTTGTACGCGCTATCGAGACGCTCCAAGCGTTTGGCGATCTCTGCAAGCTGCTTGCGCTCATGAGTCGCCGTCTCTTTCTGCGCTTCCACAGCACGGACGCCTTCAACCCGGCGTCGGCTGACCAGCCCACCGCACCAGAAGTGCAGCCAAACGAGAGTACGCCGACCGACGAAACGACGCGGGCGCAGCGCATGTCGCAGCTGTACTCGATCATGATGAACCAACTTGGCGGTGGCGATGCCAATGGTAGCACGAACGGTCCAAGCATTGTACAGGCGCAGATCCCGCTACCGGCCGGGCTCCTTCAGCAGCTTCGCGAGAGCCTCCCCGAAGGTGCGGACCACGACCATTTTGAATTCGAAGCGACGATTCCGATCTGGCAAGTGATCCCGATGCTTCAGCCGACGACGACTGCGGCCCCGCAAGAGCCTGCTGCCGCACCGCCTGCCCCGGCCGCTGCGCCATCGACCTCGCCGCAGTGGGACTTTGAGGGCTTTGCGCAGTTCCTCATGGCCGAGGTCCCCGCGCTCGAGCTCTACGGCATTCTGAACGGCCAGCGCGCGAGCCTCCAAGCGCTCCTCCGTCGCATTGGTTCGCGCATGCTGGAAGGCCCCGAGATGCCTCCGATGGCGCCCGGCAGCAACCGCGAGTGGTCGACACGCTTTATCAACGCACTCCGTGATGCGGTCGGGCGCGGCCCGCGGTTTCCATCCCCGGTCTTCCGCTCGAACGTGCTCTCGGAGCTCGTCGAGCGCGTCTCGCCGTTCATTCCGGAGCTCATCCACCTCTGCATTCGCGCGACGACCGTCACGACGTCGCCGACCCACGCCTCGGCGGTGGCGTTCATGGACACGGTCGTCGAGTTTCTCGGGCACATGGCGCGCCAGTTTGTGACGGACCTGCGCGCGTTGCTCGTGGATGCGACAACTCCGACCGCCACAGCCCTCGAGCGCGTCCTCAACCACTGCGGTGTCCACGGGCCGTTTGCCTCGTTTGCGGTCGACGCGTTCCTCAACTGGCCCGCCGTCGGTGCGTCGCGCCGCCGACCCGCCGATGCGCCTTCGGCGCCGGATGCCAAGCGACCGCGCCGTGCGTAGGCGACATTGGTATTTTATAATAATTTATCTTTTCGAGATGCAACGCGCTAGCTTCTTTGCCGTCTTCTTGGTTGTCTTATCGGCGGCTGTGGCTCGCGTCCGCCACCATGTCGTCGTAGAGGCGCTCAAAGTGCAGCGCGGAAAACGGCGTGAACGTCGCCGCGTACTCCCAGAGACAGGTCGCGAGCTCGTCCATGGCCATGTCGTCTTCGCGACACACGAGGCTGTCGATGACGTGGCCAATCTCGACAAGGTACTTGCTCACTTTCTCGACGAGCACGTCGTCGCTGTGGTCTTCGCCCCACGACGAGATCTTCTGCACCTTCTTGAGCGTCACCTTGACGTCCTTGAGAAGCGCTTTAGGATCCCACTTGTCGACGAGCTGCTCGGACGTCAGAAGCACCTTCGTGGGCTTTTGGGGCGGCATGATGCGAATGTTCTTGCCGCCGTACCGTGGCATGATCGTGTTGGCACCACTGGTCGTCTCGTCATCGGCCGAGATCTCGCCCTCCTCTTCGCTTTCGACCGGCGCTGGCGGCAGCACGCGCAGTTGCTTCCCGCCAAACGATGGCGTCGGCTGCTGGGCCACGTGCTCGCGACGGATCGAGTCCGACGTCGACGACGTTGCGAGCGGCTTGCCCGACGGCGACGGCAGCTTGCGCAAAAGGTCCTCGGCGCGGCCCTTGAGGCGTGTGCCGGTCAGCACGCGATGCTTCTCGAACGCGAGCTTGGCGTCGCCGAGAATGTCTTCCCAGTACCCGACGCCGTGGATGTACACGCCAAGCAGCAGTGCGCGGTCCTTGGCTGGCGACCAGTCGCACTCCTTCTCGACGTAGCCCCACGCGGGCATTTGCTCAATGCCGAGATCGACGAGGTCGCGGCGCGAGGTCGCGAGCCCATACGCACTAGCCATCGTGATATAAGACACGGGATCATCCTCAGATGAGCGACGACATACCCTTGGCTTGGGTTGCCCGATTTTTTCAGCGCCCGCTGGACCGCGACGCGGAGCTTGAGGTTCTCCTGGAGACGCTCGATGAGCGCCGCGGGCTTGATGTCGACGTCGCCAAACTTGACGTTTTCCTCCGAGAGATTGGCGTGGCAGAGACTGACAATCTCGTTCGATACGGTTTGAATGATGTCGTCTGGCAGCTTGAGACTGTTGCAGAGCTTGGCGCGCACAATGTAGTTGGGCTGCCGCAGCTCGTCGCAGAACGTACTGGGATCTTCGTTGCAGCCCGGAGCGTCCGTGAGGTCGCCGTACCGCTGCAGCGCCTTGTGGATGGTGCGGACGATCTTGGGATTCGTGCGCGCATCTACAGCAAATGAGAGAGACGACAGGACGGGCCGTGTAGGTACCGGCGAGGAGGTCGGCCGGATCGGCGTCGGGCGGCGGGGATCCCCCAGGTGCGCTGGAAGCAGTCACCGTC